TTTTTTGGTGTGTACGTGTGTGTGTGTGGGGGTGCAGGGGGGGAATTAAGGAAGGAATAGGGGCTAGATCCATGCCTGAGAGGGCTCTCATAGATTATGGGGGTATTTTTTCACTAATGGTATGGATACTGTTTGAGTCAATGGCGGAGACACATTCCATGGGATTTCTGTCTTTCAAGATTAGACCCATGCAAGACACTGGAAAGCTATTCTTTTGGAATACTACCTAGAGATGTTTGTTTTTTCTTTTATTCTGAGGCCCTGAAAATAAAAGAGAATAGTCCTAGCTGGCTCTAATTACAAAATTGAACTAGGGACTAGCAGGTTAAGCCTGAATAACTCACCCAAAGCAGATAAAAGTAACTTTAACTTTGATCTAAGAAACTGGGAGTATGGCTCTATTAAATCCATATGCTTAGCAGTGGCCTTTGAAAACCTAACCTGGCCAGCTAATGGCCATAACCTTTCCTACCACTTTCCTGGGAAATAGCTAAATCTAACTGATGTGTTAAAGTGTTAGACAACCTTTGTTTATCTTGCTCTTTTGTATGCCTTTTAATGTACAATCTTGCCTCTGGGTTTGATTGAGTCCTTGTCAGTCTAATATCAAATAATCCAATGCCAGAAACAAACAAAAGAATACACAAAATTTCTACCCATTTGCCTGAAATGACAGGCAAAAGGGTAGAAATCATTAACGCTACTATTCAGGTTTCTTCAGATGTTCTTTCCAAACCTTAAATGGGGAGTTCCTAACCTGAGTGCCCAAATGGCCTGCCAGGAGTGGGTGAAGCCCTTTAAATTGTACAAAACATCCTAAAAGAGTAAGGTAGATTTTTTTTTCTGAAAATGGAGTCTGTAGTCTCTATCATATTCTAATAACCTAATTGCTGCCTGAGTGTTACCATGTTCTTACCAAGTTCTTACCATGTGCCTGGCATTTAACACATGAGGTAAGAGAGGCTCAGAGAAGTTAAGTAAATTGCCTAAGGTCACTCACTAAACAAGTAGTGGAGCTGAAATGTGAACGGAGATTTTTGTGTTGCAAAACCTTTGTTCTTTTTTCTCCTATTACCATGCAGGACATCTCAAGGGAGTTGTAGCCCCCAAAAGGCTATGAGCCATGGCCTTAAAAGCTTCCTTTGAAGGGAATTGTTGGTGCTGATAACCCACCTGGGGAAATTAGGCTACCAGCAACAGTCACTGCCTGCCTCACACTGAAGGAACTGTAACACCATAGAATTTCTCCTACTTTAGTTCTGGCCGTATGACATCTGGGAAAAAGGGGGCAATACATGAATAAATATGAGTGATTACAACATGTCTAGCTTCAGCTTTTGCCTAATAAATTGGTGTTTATGGTCCGTAGAAGGAAAATGACCCTTAAGAAATAAATTTTAATGAGCACATCGCTAGGCTACAAATCTCAATAAATCTATTTACACATAAATTATATATATGTATATATTTATATATTCATGAGAACAAACCTTTTGGAGAACATTTGCTGAAAAACATGAACCCTACCTGGGTTTAATAAACAAGTATTCACTACAGTTGGAGATATCTGTGTCAGGAATATTTAAACAGCACAGTGATAAATAATAATGACAGTAAAGTTGCTGGTCATTAGGAATTGGGTTTTGGAGTATTTTAAAGATTTTTCTGTCTAATTTTTAAGAATTGTAAATGTAATATATATGGTTGTGACTAAAATAGATTTAAACAATACAAAAGAACATGAAGTAGAAAATAAAATCTACACCCCATCTCTTCACTTTTGTGGAGTGCCACAGAAGTGTCTATTTTCAAAGATTTTTCAATGAGCTTATAAGTGTACATAGGTGTGTATGTATGTGTATAGGTGTGTATAGTATAAAAATGGGTACATATATATGGCTTAATATTATCACGAACACATAAGTACTTTTAAAGCCATTTTTAGGGCTACATATATTCCATTGGATAGATGTAATATAATTTATTTATTTAATCCATTGATGGGTATTTAAGTTATTTCCAGTATTTTGCTATTACAAATAATGTTACAATAAATTTTCTCATACACACATCATGGTATACTGGAGCTTGTAATTTCATATGACACATTCCTAAGAGTAAGTTGATAAGTAAAAGCATATAAGTTTTTATCATTTAAATTGATATATAATTTTATTACTTATTTTTTCATTAAAATTAATTTATCTAGTGGAGTAAAAATTGATGGATACATGTAATATAATATTTAAAAAATACATCAAGTCATAAAATAGAAGTAAAAGTCTCCCTTTGTTTCAGTCCCTTACTCCAACTGTCTATGTATTTCATATGTATCTTTGCAGGAAAAATGTAAAATTTGTGTTTACATGTAAATATTATTTTTTTCATAAGGTTCATCATTACATGCACATTCTTCTGCATCTGTTTTTTTTTAAGTTTAGTAGTA